GCCCATCCCCAACAACCCACTACAACAGCCCATTCTGCTACAACAGCCCATCATTCACTACAACAGCCCATCATGCACTACAACAGCCCATCATGCACTACAACAGCCCATCATGCACTACAACAGCCCATCATGCACTACAACAGCCATCATTCACTACAACAGCCCATCATGCACTAACCCTCATGCACTCCATCATCAAAAGCCCATCATGCACTACAACAGCCCATCATGCACAACAGCCCATCATGCACTACAACAGCCCATCATCATCACTACAACAGCCCACCCCACAACAGCCCATCATTCACTACAGCATCATTCACTACAACACTCATCATGCACTACAACAGCCCATCATGCACACAACAACCCATCATGCACTGCAACAGCCCATCATTCACTCAACAGCCCATCATGTACTACAACAGCCCATCATGCACTACAACAGCCCATCATTCACAACAACAGCCCACCATGCACTACAACAGCCCATCATGCACTACAACAGCCCATCATGCACTACAACAGCCCATCATGCAGTACAACAGCCCATCATTCATAACAGCCCATCATGCACTACAACAGCCCATCATGCAGTACAACAGCCCATCATGCACTACAACAGCCCATCATCACAACAACAGCCCATCACACTACAACAGCCCATCATTCATACAACAACAGCCCATCATGCACTACAACAGCCCATCATGCTCTACAACAGCCCACTGCTCTGCCAAAAAGCCCATCATGCACTACAACAGCCCATCATGCACTACAACAGCCCATCATGCACTACAACAGCCCATCATGCACTACAACAGCCCATCATGCACTACGACAGCCTATATGCCTACAAAGCCCATCATGCACTACAACAGCCCATCACGCACTACAACAGCCATCATTCACTAAAATAGCTCATCTTGCACTACAAGATCTCATGCCACTACATTATTATGCGCAGCGACCCATCATTTTCTAACGGCCCATCCTTACTGAGCAGCTATTGCTCTGCAAAAACCCATCATGCACTGCAACAGCCATCACGCACTGCAACAGGCCATCATTCACTTCATCGGCTCATCTTGCACTGAATCCCATCATACACTACTAAAGGCCCATCGTACTTTTCTAACAGCCCGCATTCTACAAAAGCCCATCTGCACTACAACCCAGCCATCACGCACTACAACATACCATCATGCATTACAACAGGCCGCCATTTCATGCACAACAGCCCATCATTCACTACAACGACCTATCATTCACTACAACAGCCCATCATGCACCACAACAGCCATTACAACGGCTGCATCATGCACTGCGGCCCATCATTCACTACAATATCCCATCATTCTTTCTGTAGCCCATCATGCAATATAACAGCCCATCATGCACGGCAGCAGCCCCATCATGCACTACTGGCAATACATCATGCACTACAACCGGCCCATCATGCTAGAAACAGCCCATCATTCGCACAACACCGCATCATGCTACAACCCGCGTCATGCCCTACAACTGACCCATCATGCTACAACAGCCCATCATTCACTACAATATCATCATTCACGCAACAGCCCAGCATGCAATATAACAGCCCATCATGCATTAAAACAGCCCATCATGCACTACAACAGCCATTATTCACTACAACAATATCGCGCACTGTATGCCATCATGCATTACAACATTCTCATACTACAACAGCCCATCATTCACTACAGCAGCCCATCATGCTACAACAGCCCATCATGCACTACAACAGCCCATCATTCACAACAACATCATCATGCACTACAACAGCCCATCATCCACTACAACAGCCAGCCCATGCTCTACAACAGCCCATCATGCACTACAACAGCCATCATGCACTACAACAGGCCGTCATTCACTACAACAGCCCATCATTCACTAACAGCCCATCATGCTACAACAGCCCATCATGCACTACAACAGCCCATCATTCACACAACAGCCCATCATTCACTACAACAGCCCATCATGCCCTGCAACAGACCATCATGTACTACAACAACCAATCATGCACTACAACAGCCCATCATGCAATACAACAACTGGCGTTACGCACTACAACAACACATCATGCACTAAACAGCCCATCATTCGCAGCCCATCATGCACTGCAACAGCCCATCTGCACTACAACAGCCCATCATTCACAACAACAGCCTGCATACTACAACAGCCCATCATGCTGCAACAGCCCATCATGCACAACAGCCAATCATACTACAACAGCCCATCATTCGCTAACCTGTAGCCCATCATTCACTACAACAGCCCATCATGCCGTTACCAACAGCCCATCATGCTTTATAACAGCCCATCATGCACTACAACAGACCATCATGCACTACAACAGCCCATCATGCACTACCAACAGCCATCATACTTTCTAACAGGCCATTATTCACTACAACAGCCCATCACGTTCACTACAACAATACATCATGCACTACAACAACCCATCGCTGCACTACAACAGCCCATCATGCACTACAACAGCCCATCATTGTTACAGCACCAGCCCATCATGCCCTACAACCAGACCATCGTACTACTACAACCTATCATGCACTGCAACAGCCCGCTCGCTGGCCACAACAGCCTAGCATGCACTACAACAACCCATCATGCACTACAACAGCCCATCATTCATACCAACAGCCCATCATGCCTGCAACAGCCCATCATGCTACTACAGCCCATCCCATTCACAACAACATTTCGCCACTACAACAGCCCATCATGCACTACAACAGCCCATCATTCACTACAACAGCCAATCATGCACTACAACAGCCCATCATTCACAACAACAGCCCATCATGCACTGCAACACCCCATCATGCACTACAACAGCCCATCATTCACAACAACAGCCCACCATGCACTACAACAGCCCATCATGCATTACAACAGACCATCATACACTACAACAGACAATCATTCACTACAATAGTCCATCTTGCACTACAACAGCCCATGATGCACTATAATGGCCCATCATGCACTACAACAGCCCATCATTCACTACAACAGCCAATCATGTGCAATATTAGTTCCTTTTCCACATAGCCATCATATACAACAGACCATCATACTACAACAGACAATCATTCACTACAATGATCCATCTTGCACTACAACAGCCCATCATGCACTACAACATACCATTATACTGCTTAGCCATCAGCACTACAACAGCCCATCATTCACTACATAGCCATCATTCACTACAACAGCCCATCATGCACTACAACAGCCATCATGCACTACAACAGCTTATCATGCCACAACAGCCCATCAAGTACTACAATAGCCCATCATGCACTACAACAGCCCATCATTCACTACAACTTCCCATCATGCACTACAACAGCCCATCATGCACTACAACAGCCCATCATGCACTACAACAGCCCATCATGCACTACAACAGCCCATCATGCACTACAACAGCCCATCATGCACTACAACTGCCCATCATTCACTACAACAGCCCATCATACACCACAAATGTCCATCATACAACTATCCATCATACACTTTAATTGTCTATCGTACATTACCATTAGCAATCATACACTACAACTGTCCATCATACACTACAACGTTCCATCATACACTATAACTGCCCATCATACACTATAACTGCTCATCATACACTATAACTGCCCATCATACACTACAAATGTCCATCATACACCTCTCCATTATACATTATAATTGTCTATCGTACATTACTCTTGTCAATCATATACTACAACTGTCCATCATACACTACAACTGCTCATCATATATTACAACTGTCCATCACAAACTTTTTCTGTCCATTATTCATTACAACTGGCCATCATACACTACAACTTCCCATCAAACAACTCTCCATCATACACTGCAACTGCTCATCATACATTACAACTGTCCTTCATACATTACAACTGCCCATCATACACTACAACTGCCCATCATACACTATAACTGCCCATCATACACTACAAATGTCCATCATACAACTATCCATCATATATTATAATTGTCTATCGTACATTACCATTGTCAATCATACACCACACCTGTCCATCATACACTACAACTTCCCATCAAATAGCTGCCCATCATACACTACAACTGCTAATCATATATTACAACTGTCCATCACACACTTTTACTGTCCATTATACATTACAACTGTCCATTATACACTATAACTGTCTATCATACAGTACAACTGTCCATCATACACTACAACTGTCCGTCATATATTACAACTGTCCATCATACATTACTAATGCCCATCATACACTATAATTGTCCATCAAACACTACAACTGTCCATCATACACTATAATGTAACTGTCCATCATATACCACAACTGCACATCACACATTGCAATTGTTCATAAATACACTAAAACTGTCCATCATGCATTACAACTGTCCATTATACATTACAACTGTCCATCATACACAACAACTACTCATCATACATTGCAACTGCCCATCATACACTATGACTGTCCATCATACACTATGACTGTCCATCATACACTACAAGCGTTTATCATACACTACAACTACGCATCATACACTACAACTGTCCATCATACGCTACAACTGACCATTTTAAAATACAACTGTCAATCATACACAACAACTGTTCATCATACGTTACAACTGTCCATCATTCACAATAACTGTCCATCATACACTATGACTGTCCATCATACATTACAACTGCCCACCATACACTATAACTGCCCACCATACACAACAACTGCCCATCATACACTACAAATGTCCATCATACAACTATCCATCATACATTATAATTGTCTATCGTACATTACCATTGTCAATCACACACTACAACTGCCCATCATACAACTCTCCATCATACACTACAACTGCTCATCATATCTTACAAATGTCCATCATACACTATAACTGTCCATCATACACTACAACTGTCCATCATACACTACAACTATCCATCATACATTACATCTGCCCATCATACACTACAACAGCCCATCATACCTTACAACAGGCCAATCAGTTACCCGCAAGACGCTGAAAACAACCTTATGATTACATTGTTTCTTACAAGATGTCGGAGAAAGATGATTGTTGCTGGAGCAGTTATAAACAATACTGTGGAGGGTGAACGGGTGAAGCACGTTAGTATGTGGCAGTAGGGGGCACCCAGCAAGACACTCACACTCCACCTATAACAGGTAATTACTTTGCTGCTTGAGTCTTATTGTTTTCTCTTACTTGTCAGTAGGTGTTATACATGGACGTTCTTTTATAATTCATTGTGGAAATCGAGATTAGAGCTTGCCACATCTTGTGTTGTTTCCGGTAGGAATTTTGAAACTAGTTACTGAGTGTGAGTCAAAGTGGGACATTAGATGGGTCACTTCGTCATTAAGATTATTTTGTATTTTGGCTTGTTTTATAAATTTTGCTTCAAATAAAAGAAACATTTCAATCGATCTTTGATTATAATCTTTAATTTACATATACAGTGAAGAATATCCGAGGAAGTTGTATTGTAAATGATCGTGAAATTTATACAACTGGTCATTTCACTCCGAAATGTGAGTTTATCTAATATTCAAGAACACCGTTTACATTTACATCAAAATATCATATAATCCTCGTTTCTTACAATGAAGGATGTGTTGTGGTGCCGCTCAAGTATCTCACGGTTCTGATCCTCGTGGAATCAAACTGCATTCTACATAAAAAAAATGTAACTGTCCTTTATCTGGTTTATCTTTTATTGTACAGTAACCAATAACGGCCGATAAATACTTTGCCATCATTCTAGAAATCTGAGGATGAGAACAGTGTTACACCATGTGAATTGAACCTTCCAGTG